ATTGTTCAAGAAGAAACTGAACCTCAAAGAGGTTGTAACTTGCCCACAATCAAACAACTAGTCTCCTGGACACAATACACACAACTTTTCAGCAACGCATTTATTGCATGAAGTAAGTAGAAACTATTATTGATTTCAAGTCAAATAAGGCAGAATGCATAGTTTTTTTCTCATTTCTTTCTCCTACTATCATACAAATTCAAAGCTTGAATTGGAAGGGATTTCAAGGGTCATTTAGTCTAACTCCCCCCCCCTTTTTTTTTTTACAGATGACAAAATTGAGGCCTAGAGAGTTGAAACTTTAAAAGGATTTAGACTTCAGAGATTATCTAATCCAACCATATTATTTTTCAGATGAGGAAACTGAGGAAACAAAAGACAGCTTTGGACAAGGTACCCAGCCCAAGGTCATGCAATGAGTCAGAATCAGAGCTGGCAGTTGGCAATTAAAACCCAGGAGTCACACAATTCACTCCACCTAACTCTTCTGTCTTCAATAGCGTATGGTCAGAATCTTTTTTCCAGAAGCGTACATAGAACAAACACAGAATTTTTTAAAAAGCCACTTTTATATTTCTACTGATATGAAGGAGACAATGGGTTTGATCTTGAAATAATGCATCCTAATGGTTTCAAAATGACAGGTCACAAGGTGGGTGACGTATCTGTGAAACTTTATTTTATCTAGGGCAGACCCTAACATAGGAGAAAACTGAATTTTCTGTTTTTTTTTCTTTTTTAGTTTTCAACATTCACTTTTATAACATTTTTAGTTCCAAATTTTTTTCTCCCTCCTTCCTTGCCCTCACCCCTCTCCAAGCCGGCAAGCAATCTGATAAAGGCTATACTGAAAACTGAATTCCTAATAAATGCACACAATGTCTTAGCTGGAGCAAGTATAGAAAATTGACACAGTGGACAAGCTGAATCTGTATTCTTTTCAAAGAAGTTCCATTGTTTACTAATCACTTTATATCTATTAATAGATTTTAAAACAGCATAAATAAAATAAAACATTTTAAAAGTTTATGTTTAAATATTTTGCTCAGCACTTTGGGAAAATGAATATTCCATATGAGGCCTAGCAGTAAATTGTGTGAGCTCAGGGGTTTTGACCTGCAGTAGGCTAAAATTGAGTATTCACACTAAGTCTGGCCATTTTGGCAAGCCCCTGTGAACAGAGGGTTGTTGTTTACATAAAGATCAACTTATCAGACTATAGAAATTTCTATTTAATACGTATATCGAAGTATTTTATTTATCTATAATTATGAAGCTTGCTTAATTAGTTGCATTGATATATAAGTTTATAATAAATCATAAACCAATCACTTTATTGTTACGGAAATATCACTCTAGATGGATCTTTTATAGCTGACTTTGAGGTAGGAGGTAATAACATGCCTTTTTTTATCTAGACATAAATATTTCTCTTAAAAAAAAAGTTCAGAAAACCTAAAAACAACTGATGCTGTTTTAGTCATTTTTCCTATGAGACCCTGAGGGAGAAAACCTAGATAACATTTTATCTATGTTCATATCTAGTTATCAGTCATGAGATATTTAAAATCTCCTGGGTTCCTGCTAGCCTTCAATAAATAAATTGCAGCACTCTGGGAATGTAGATTGTGAGAGTAAGGAGAGAAAAAACAACATTTAAATACACATAAACATCTGCGTGAGGGTGAGATAGAAAAACATTTTGAAATCTTTAAACTGAATTTATTGCAATTGTTTACCACAGATGGCATTAATAAAGAACAACCTCCACTCCCAAAGAATAAACTATAAGAAAAGGCTCCTTTAAGGGTGATTTTTCTAAAGAGAAAGCTCTCCTTATGATCTGTGCCAGAACTAGTACAATAGCCAATGCAAAAGAAACACTGGCTCTCCAAGCTTTAAAACTAAATGTACACCTTATGAGTAAGACGATTCTTTTTAGAGGACAGACCTTCAGTCTGCTCAGTTACTGAATGGGATACATTTTCCAAGAGACACTTGAATCTTATATACTGTTGCTACTTTATTTGGGGGAGGAGGATGGGAAGGGAAAGGCGCCTCATTCCCCACAGATCAGTTCCCACAGGAAGGAAATATACAGATGAGGAGCTGTGAATCTTTGAGTTAAATGAGAAGTGTCAGGGAAAGACACTGTGGTCCCTCAATGGTTCTTGGAAATTGAAGGATGGTTTGTGTACTCTTTACAGCATCAGGCTTTTGAATTGTTAGACAAAGAGCATTTTTTATTTCTTTTTATGTCAATTTCCATACTTTCAGACAGAATCCCTAAATTCACTTACTGTTCATAATAGTAATCCACACTGAGGGATTTGTCCCCAAAAGAAATTTAGTCTCTTAAAAATAGTCTCTTAAATTTTTCGGATTCATAGATTTAGAGCTGGAAGTGATCCAATTTTAGGGGTCAGGACCCAAAGTGTAGGGGAACCCTCAGTGACCAAACTCCCTTCTCTGATGAAATTCATCTGTAAATTATAGCTAATTGACTTACCTGGAGCCACAGGACTAGTTTAAGTCAGAGACTGGACCAGAATAAAGTCTTTAAGGCTCCAAGGTTGCTTCTCACTAAAGGACTTTAGTCCCCTTTAGTTATCTATCCAACAGCCTTGTTTTCACAAATGAGGAAACTGTAGCCTAGAGAGGGAAAAACGACTTGCCCACGGTTGCCCAATTAGTAAGTAACAGACCTAGCATTCCTCTCTAGGACCTCTGACCTTGGGGTCTAGCACTTTGTAAAGAACTCCCACTGTTTCCATGTTTCCTGCATATTCTCGTTTGGGGTTTTAAAAATCAGAGGAGATAGTTCCAAGAACAATTGTATTTCAAAGCATTAACGCATTCATATCACAAGCAACTCCTTTTTTCAAAAGGCTAAGTACCAATACACAAGCTTTAATAGCTTAATGCTGCACCAAGACTTTTGAAACACTCCGTATAAATTAAAATTTGAAATACCTCTTTTGAAATTGGTTTCCTTATAACAAGGTTATTCACCTCCTTCTCTGGTTTCCACGAGGGGGCGCCAAAGATCACAGCAAAAACCTAGCGATCAATCTCCCTAAAGTTTCTATTGTCAGAGAGTTTGGTACATAGCTCTCTTTGTAGTGTCTTGTCCAAATTAATAAGCAGCGGAATACAAGAAAGCCTCCTGAACAAATAACAGAATAAAATATGGCAAGCCCTACGGATCGGAATGAGCTGTGATGCAATATAGAAGATTAGACTCCCACGGTGCTTTTACAATAATAAAAAGCAAATTAGAAAAATGAAAATGTTTTTAGAATCTAGATGAACACTAGAGAGATACCTGGCTTCTCGTTTTTTTGCCTTAAAGGTCAGCTCAACTCTAACCCCACTCCAAGCCCTCCCTCCCAAAAAAATATTAAATTCTCTTGTGGCTTAAACATTAATTGGAGGGGGTAAGCTAGATTCTTAATTCTCTTTGGGATCATTTGGTCTATCCTTCAATTCAACACACATTTTACTATATGTCTATTATGGACAAGGGACTGTGTTAGGTGCCTGGGAATAAAGACAAACCCCAAATTGGAGTTAGCTTCCTAAAGTAGAGACTCAAAGTCAGGCTTCTGCGATCACAGATCAGACACTGAAAGAAACTTCCCAAGTCAGCTAGCCCAGGAGTGGGGAACCTGCGGCCTCAAGACCACATGTGGCCCTCTAGGTCCTCAAGTGCGGCCCTTTGACTGAATCCAAACTTCACAGAACAAACCTTCTTGATAAAAGGATTTGTTCTGTATCTATTCTAATCCAATCATTTTACAAAGGAGGAAATCGAGGCGAAGGAAAGAAGGTTGAACGACTTCCTAAAATCACGCAGGTAATAAGAAGCAGAATTTGAAGCTCGGTCCTCAGAGCTAATACTTTCCGCAAAGTTAGTCATTTACACCACAGTCAAATTAAATCGAGAGGTAAGCTACTGACTCTGTGGAAATACAATACAGGACGCTAGCTCTAGGAGAGCACTTAGGTGCTAACAGATTCCATCCTTATTTTACAGGCTCGAGGAAGTCAAGTGCTTTGACCAAGCTCACACAGGTTAAGTGTCAGTGGTGGGATTTGAACGCAGATGATCTGAACCCAGAACCGGAGCTTTTTTCCTACCCTACCACTCAGCCTCTCAGAGAGGAGCGTGGCCTTCCAACCTAAGCTCTGGAGCCAAGTGAGCAGGTCGCTGTGGACTGCGCTCCGGGCCATCTCCAGGCTGAACTGGGTCTCACACTCCGCCTCAGGCGAGCTCCGCACTATCTTGTATTTCCATCGAGGGGCGCATTTACCCATGTCCCCAGATAGACGTGGACGGCTCTGGAGGATCCCAGACGTCCAAGCATCCCCAATTAGGACCCTTTCCAACCGAGACTTTGCAGCCAGGGCTGTTTTAGCTGCTAGAGAAGCCTGCCCTCTCTCACCCTTCACCCCATTATTCAGGCTGGGCGAGGAAGGGGTAGCCTACTGCTCTGCTTTGCCCTGCGCTCGCTACTCGGAGAAAACCCTCACTCTGATCGCTTAACTGCTCAATGTGCCTTTCACGGCCCTGCAGTTAAAGGACCGTGGCCGATTCGATCCCCTTGAGGCTATTTCAACCCCACCGCATCCTCATCAGGTCCGGAAGCCTGGTCCTTCTTGCTGACATCACGAGAGCGCTTCACCTGCTTTCCACGGACCTCTCCTTCCCTTGTAGCACCCCAACCCCCGGCAGCCCCCAACCCCAAACTTCTTTTTTGCTTCGTTGACTCTGGTTTATTTCACTACCACCACCATCACAAATAAAAAGAGGGAGTTCCCACTTCTGCCCCTTGCCAAGGGAACTAGGGGCAAGTGGGGGCTGGCCGCCTCCTGGTCGCTCCCCTCTTTTGTCTCTCCTCCCACAGCAGCGCCAGTCTGGGGACTCCCTAGCCGGGAAACTTAATTCACTCTCCTGTGCTCTCTGTCCCTCCCCCACTAGACCCAGCCCTCCGGGGAGAGAGGGAGAGCGAGAGCAAAGCAGCTCACATCTGCTGTTTGTCTGCAGCCACAGCTTCAGGTAGTCGCTTCTCTTCCCCTGGAGCCACTAGCATTCGCTAGTCACAGTCTCCCCAGCTCCTTGCTAACAAGGTAGGTGACTATTCTGGGACTCTCTGTGTTTCTAAACGCCCCCTTCACTGGTTCTTCATCCTAGGGTCGGGCAGTCACACTGCTTGTTTAAAGGGCTGAGGGGAGTTCTTTAGGGGGAATATGGATGGGGGTGGGAATGGGGAATAGGATGAGGAACTTCAAGAGAAGCTCCTGCCTGTATTGCGAAAGGGAGGTTCTCAAGGCCAAACATAAAGGCAGTCCCTTAAAGACTGCCACCCACTTCACTGCACCTTCCGCCCAGGTGCTATCTAATAAGTGAAAGGTTTTCCTTCCTCTTTGTTTCCATCATCTGGGCTTCCCAACAAAGGTTAAGACCGGCTTTGGATAATTCTGAAGCTGCAGATTGCTTCATCCCCATGGGAGCTTTCTTACCCCAGAAGGATTATTAAGTAAATACAGTAGCAATAAAAACCTTTAGTACAAAGATTTGAGAACTTTCTTGGGAGCCCCTTGCACTGATTTGCATGGAGGTTTCAGACCAGAAGTATATTTTTCTGAAGCCATAGCGTTCTAATGATTTGACCTATTTTTCATTCATTGCCTGCTGACACTCACAACTTGGAAATGTACACTTGTTGCCAACCTACCAAGCTATCTGTTGGTTTGGAATATTAAGAATCAAATACTAGAAGGTCAGAGCACCCAAAATCAGTGGCTTAAGTTAAGATAGGATCTGAAAAAGGAAACCACTGCTGAAAAGAAAGTCTAAGTCTAGTGTCACACACCTAAGCTCTTTCACTCTTCCATTGTGCTAGAAGCTTTGAGTGGATGGGGATATGGCAGCTGGCATTTTGAGGTGCAGAAGGCCTATCATATTAGATGCATGAGATGACGACCGCATTCTATTTAGAATTTTTGCTTCTGGAATGTGTGGTGAGTGTGCATGAAAAAAGAGTAAAAGATGGAAAAGTGGAGAGAACAGGACTATATAGCTGGCAGTTACCTTATACGGAAGTATATATTAAAATTGGCTTTGTTCAGGGCTGGATCAGGTAATTCTGTGCTCTGAGAGAAATGATATGTGATTGTGTTACTAAACTGGGGAAATGGAGGAAATTCCAAACTGGTAACGCAGAAGTGTTTTAATAACCTAACAAAAGAAATTATAGTTTGTAAACAACTTTTTTCTAGTACCTTTGGTTAATGAGAAAGGTTTTAAGTCAATACTTTTAGTAATATCTCCAAATGACCTCCTCCCCACATCATTCTCTTCCCATTAAATGAAAAAAAGCAAAACCAAAAAACATTGACACCAGAGTGAACAAACAATTGTTTAAGCCATCAAAATTAATACTGGAAAGTTCAGAAATTATGATGAAAATATAGTAATTTCCAACATGTGTGTGTATGTGTGTGTGCACCTACCTTAGTAAATTATAAGATAGGTGCAATTTCAGGGATGTGTAACATGTTCGGTCAGGGTACTCCCTCCACCAACACAGGTCACAATTCCTTCATAACTTGGTAGGTATTCTTCATGAGTTGCTGTGGGTGAAAAATTCATCACTCTGTAGCCAATATGATGATAAGACCCTGAACTTTGCTAGGCTGCTCATCATACAATAGGCATCTGTCCAATCTGTCTTTGAACCCTCCTAGTTTGGTAGAAGCTGGCAGAGTTAATGTGTTCCTGCCATAACCCACAAGGTCAACCCCTAGTAATGGTATGGAGTTACATGGTCTCGAAGGAAAATTCAAGCCTCTTTTTGCCACTTCTGTGGCTGGAAATAATCATTTCTGGAGTGTGACTATAGATGATGAAAAGAGGGTAGGATAGTAGCTATCATTTACATAGTGCCTTAATATTTGCAAAACCCCTTACACATATTATCTCATTTGATCCTCATGATTCTATGAAATACATGCTATTATTATCCCTATTTTACAGATGAGAAACTGAGGCTGAGAAGTCAAAGTGACTCAGCCCCGATCACACGGCTAGTAAGTACCTAAGGGAGGATTTGAACTTGGGTCTTTCTAACTCCAAGTCCAGCCCTCTACTAATTGCCTCAAAAGATAGAGAAGTGAAGAGAAGTAGACTAATTTGCAGTGGTGTGAAACTCAAATAGGAATGGATCACTTGCAGGCTGCATTTTGACTTAGAAAACCATGAAGTAACATTATCTATGTTATATTGTATTTTTTTATTAATTTTGTTAAACATTTCCCAATAACATTTTAATATGCTTTAGGCTGCATCTAGGAGTTTTGCTGGCCACAGCTCAGGACATCAGTTTGATGCCTGTGGTCTAAAGCATTTTTCAACTGCAAATTACTTTTTGCAGAAGCAAAATCAAAAGAGCAAAGTTTGAAAGACTAATAACAGTGATTTCTGATAGTCAAGCCTTACCTTGGCAGCTGATTCTTTGTATAATGAATACATTTTCCTCCCTATCTTATTTTTATTTCATATCTGTACTTAACTTGTTATTCCATGATATAACACTACCAGCATCCCAATGTTCTTTGCATCCTCTTTATATGTATCAGAATTATCCACATTTTAAGAATAAAATTGCCCCCTCCCCTTCCTTTTGCTAGAAATATTTTGGGTGCTTGGTGTTTTTAACCTCATAAAATTTTTTTCTCAAGTTTTTGCTTTTGTGTTCAGCTCACATTTCCATTAGCCATTTTCCCCATCCCTTTTCCTATGCAATAATATGGATTCTTCCTAATTTCCTTCTCTTTTTACTGATTCCATTTACTGATTTCTTTTGAGAGGCATTTTGCCAGCACTTAAGGTAGATTTAGTTTGAAAGATAGCATTTCCTTAATGATTTCTGCTTGCCAAATGAACTTGTTACTTTCATTTTCCTAGTACAAAAAAATGAGTTTGTCTTCTAATCTTACTTTTAAGAGGTTCTCATAAAGTTTCAAATCATTCTTCCCTGGCTCAGGTGCTCCAGGAAGCCTTTCCTCAGTTCTGTCTCAAGTTTTATCCCTATGAAGTGAACTATCATTCTGTAGAATAAAAATTTACCTAGAAATCAATCCATTTCTTGAAGAGCAGGATAATCTCAGAAAAACATGTAAAGACTTACACGAACTGATGCAAAGTGAAAAGAACAGAATCGGGATAATATTGTTCACAGTGACAGCAATATTGTATGATGATCTAACATGAATAATTTAGCTATTCTCAGCAATATAATGATCCAAGATAATTCTATAGAACTTATGGGTGCTTGTCCATCTCCAGAGAAAGAACTGGTAGAGCTTGGATTCAGATCAAAGATACTTTTTCATTATTTTCTTTATTTTTCTTGGGGTTTTTTGTCTCTGTTTTCTTTCACAGAATGACTTACATGGAAATGTGTTTTGCATGACTACACATGTATAACCTACGTCAGATTGGTTGCCTTCTCGATGGGGGGGGAGAGAAGAGAGGAAGAGAATTTGGAATTCAAAACTTAAAGGAAAAAAGAATGTTAAAATTGTTTTTACATGTAAATGAATAAAAATAAGTATTTAAAAAGATTTTTAAAAAGAAATCACTGTGTTTTTTAACAATAAGGAAATAATAAGTAGGATAAATGGCATATATAAAGCATTAGCATTGGCATTAGGGATCATTTAATTGCCTCCTTTTACAGTTTAGAAAACTGAGAGTCTGAGGGGGGAATTGACTTGACCTAAGTCATACAGCTCAAATCAACATTTCCTGGTTCCTTGCGTCACTACACTGTCTACTCTTAATTAATTATTAGCGGTTCACTACTGGAGGTTCAAAAACAAAATGAAAAGCCGTCCTTGCCTTCAAAGGCTTGGGGAGGGGGCAGGCAAATAAATACAATGTAATTGGAGACAGAAGTGATCCCTGAATACTAAGGGAATCAGGAAAGTTTTCTCACAGAGGGGCCTTGAAGGAAGCCAATGATTCTCATTTTCACCAGTATGCTATGGTTTATCGTAATGACTCCCCTTTTGACAATATTTTATGGTACATTGTTTTCCCACATTAGTCATGTAAGGTCAGTAATACAAATGTATTATCCTCATTTTGCGGATGAGTAAGCAGAGGCTCAGAAGAATGAAGATTTGACAAGTTTACACAGATAGCATATGTCAGAGCTAAATTCAACCCCAGGTCTTGGGACTCTTAGCTACCAACACATTGGGCCATTCCTTCTATCTCTGATCTTTGGACATTTATATGACACAGGTACTAACAAATATAAGCAAAAGAAATAGAATTATAATTTCATATCACAAATATACTTAAGGGAGATTTTAAACATACTTTTTGAAATTTCAAATGGAGCATTTCTCATTTAGACTGTTCTTGAATCCTAACAATAGAGTTCTATGTGATTTCAAACACCTGAAGCAGCCACTCCCTAAGATGTACAGTCCTAACCAGACCGAGTGAGTAACACCACGTAGGCCCTCAAATGAACTGTGTAATTCATGATGTGAAAATAACACATTCAGCTATGTGGAAATGGAGAATCAGCTGCAATTTTAGTATGAAGGACAGAATCTCAGAGTTGAAAGGAGCCTGAAGCCTGAACCTCCTCTTCCCCACTCCTTAACCAGTATCAAAGCAGCTGTTTCCCTCACCTTCTTCTGCAGGAACTTATGTAATAATAGTGATGATGATGATGATGATGATGATGATGACGACAATAACACAATCAATTATGTAGCACTTTAGTGTTTATTAAGTGCTTTACAAATATTCTCTCATTTCATTGTCACATCAACACTGACAGGTAAATGATATCATTATCCTTATTTTACGGATGAGGAAACTGAAGTTGAATGACTTAGGGTTCGACAGCTAGTAAGTGGGCGAGGCTAGATTTAAACTCAGGTCTTCCCGACTCCAGTTCCACTGCTCTATCCACAGCACCACCTACCTTGTCTAATTTAATGTTAATTTGCACTCTCTAAACATTCTAAGTTTGGACCAAAGTGGCCCAGGTTAGTTATGGCTCTAAGAAAAACATCATTTTTCTTTGGTCAGACTTTTAAGATACATGTTTGTGATTCTTTCTTGATATGTTGTCACATCCTATTACGTAGTTTCTGAGAGTCTCTCCGAAAATCATTTACTATCAAATAAAATGTCCTTGTAAAGGTACAGCTTAGGTCATTCTGTGAGTCATAATCTAAAATCATTGCCTAGAGAGCGCCAGAATAGTCCAAAACACAATTTCTTTCTTTTCTTTATAGGATGTCCAACCTGAAACTTCCATACATCGTCTAAAGAGAAGAGGGGTGCCTGTGCCAGACCCTTTAGCACTTTTTACACCAAAACAATGTAATTGCAGATTCCACCTTTTGGAAGATTTCATCATGGGAGCAAACACTTCTAGCAAACCTCCAGTGTTTGATGAAAATGAAGATGGTAAGGCCCCATGCAATGGTTTCAAATATAGTTTTTTAAGTTAGACTAAAAAGTCTAAATGTAGGCTTTTGGTTTGAAAACAATATTGTATTTTAATTGCCTAGAGTCACTCAGTGGCCTTTAAGAAAGAGGGAACATAAAACCTGGTTTTGCATTTTCAGAAGGTGATGTGAATTTTTTAAAAATTATGTGAATTTGTTATGGTAAGGCATGGCATTTGTTGTTTTATTTTTCTTCAGTGCTTAAGACTGCTTATTACAGGGCTTCTGAAGATGGCTAGACAGGTTTTGCCATATTTGTTATTGCATTAATGAATTAATAATTTTTTTAAGAGGCAGCATGTTACAGTGAAGAGCATTGGTTCTGGAGTCAGGGGATTTGAATTCAAACTTCTCCCTTCTCCCCCACATGTGACCTTGAGCAAATCACTTAAAAAAAAAAAAAAACCTCCCTGTGCCTCAGTTTCCTTTTCTGTAAAATAAGAGGGTTGGGTAAGATGACTTCTGAGGTCCTTTCTAGCTCTGGATCTATAATCCTATGAACCCATATTTTCCTTTGTGAAAGGGATACTACAATTTACCAGTTGTCAACTAGAAGACTCCAGAAACCAGGTCTGAGATTAAGCCTATGGTCTCTGTCAAGATGGCAGCTGAAATTTTCCCATTGTTGTCTGAAAATGGGAAATACAGAATGAATTTCAGACCACAACACAATAATAATCATTGTATGTAATATGTGGAACAGTGGAAAGAATATTTCATTTGGAGTCAGAGGACCGTCATTCAAACAATGGCTCCCAGACTCACTGGCAATTTGTATGACCGGGGCAAGCCCCTTCACTTCTCCAGACCTTACTTAGTTCTTCATCTGTAAAAAGAGAGGGTAGAATTAGATGATGTCTGCCAGGCGTAGTGACACTTGTCTGTGATCTCTGCTACCAAAGACGTTAGGCTGGGGCAATCTCTTAAGTTCAGGAGTTCTGAGCCCCCATGGACCAGGCCATTTAAGTGTCTGCACTACAGAGTGGGGAACCACCAGGTTGCCTAGTGAAAAGCAAACTGGCCCAGGTTGGAAACAGAGCAGGTTAAATTTCCATGCCAGTCAGAGTGGGATTGGCCCCATGAGTTGCCCTTGACCTTCTAGCCTGGGGAAGATAGGAAGACCCAGTCTTTAAAAAAGGAAAGTCAAAGAACTGAACAACTGATGTATAAAGTCTCTTCCAGCTCTAAATCTGCCATCCTAAAGAGTGCCAACCTGGACTCCGTCATCCACACTAAGACCTGAAAGATTCAGGAGTTCCATCTACATCACCAAGTCATACTCAGAATTAATTAGGTTTTTAAGTACAGTTCACATCTTACATCAAAAACTGAGATTTCGTCAGATTCCATACCGTTCATACAGATCACAATCCCTCTAAGCTGATGTGGGCAAAACATTTCTTCACCTGGGGGCCAACTTTCTGAGTGTCTCTGTGCTTATCTGGACTGCTCCTACATTAACAGATACCCAGTTCATCCCCAGGCTCCATAATCAAAGTCTTTCCCTGTTGGTAGGAGCTGCCAAAACTTGCTCTCCTCTGGCATAGCTTTGAGGACCTGGGATCACAGGTTCTTGATTATTAGAGTAGGACAGTTATGAATTTTACTGTATTCAAATTCTTTGAAATTGAACATCTGTGTATGATAGCTCTTTATTTCCCAGAATATTTTGTTTACCAAAGCATCCCATTCCTCAGCCATCCTCATTAATTCCTAGTTTGTTAGAATGAATAAGTCATTTTGACTAACATAAATAGCTAAATTAACTACAAAGGACACATGAAGGAAGATGCTATCTGCAGCCAAAGAGAAAGAACTGATAAATAGAAGTATATATAGAATTATTTTACATATATGTACACATATTTGTGTCTAATGGTAGTCAGCTTTAGGGCAGAAGGGAAAAAAGGGAAAGAAAAAATGGAAAAAAAGAAACTTACATGATAACTTTATTATATATTTAAAAGGAATAGTAAGGTGTACATAAAAGATTTGTGGTTTTATGTACAATCATCTTTATTATACTATGTTAAAGAAATGCTTGTTTTATTCTATAAATTAAAAGTAGAATAAATAAAAATTATACACACCTATTTTTTAAAAAAAGAACTGGAAGGAATCTTAGTGATCCATGTAGCTCAATTGCCTCATTTAAAGTGAAGGAAACTGAGACCCAGAGAATTTCATTGATCACAAAAGGTCACAAAAGTACAGGCAGAATGAGGACTACCACCAGGTCTCTTGAGTTCAGGGATGATTGTTCAGTTTTCAGTGTGAGCATTTACAATCCAGAAATTGGCAAATATTACAAATTAGGGCTTGATTAATTGTTTTATTGATTGTCTAGACTTAAGAAAGTGATGGAGAAAATGTTAATAATGTTGATTAAACTTAAAAGTGTGTTATGTGTACATTTTGGGATTTTGGAGAGCTGGTTGTTAAATATTTACCAGCATACCACTGCTTGAATCATAGGCCAGCGCGCTTACCAATTTTCGGAACATAACCAATTCATAAACTGAGAGGATTGCCTGGATTCTAACATCAAATCAGCCCTCATATCAGGAGCTCTTACCCCTAGAGTCCATGGACCCAGATTTAAGGAAAAGCCAGGAATGTGAATGGGGGGGAAATTACATCTTTATTTCAATATAATTGGTTTCCTTCATAATCCTATGTATTTTATTTAATGTGTCTAAAAAAGATCTGAGAAGGGGTCTGTAGTTTTCACCAGACTGCCAAAGGAGTCCATTGCACAAGGCTATAAAGTTTACACCTGAGAGAACATTTAGGATGCACCATAGGGTCCAAAGGCAGGGTAGTCGACAGGAAGGGTGCATATAGAAGTTAGGGTATATTTGTTAACAATAGTAGCCTTGTTAGTCTGCAATACACACACACACACACACACACACACACACACACACACACACACACACACAGAGGAAAGGAAGTACACCCCAGGCTTCAATTTATTCTACCTGGGCTGCTCTCTCTGGAGTCAGAGCCAGCTCTGTGTGGGAGGTTAGTCTTTAGGGAGCAAAGGTGAAAAGGGATTAGGCTTTGAGCTTCTTATCGATCCCACAGGATATTAGTAGGCAAACGGCAAATTTGTTATCAATCCCATGGGATATTAGGAGGATGAATGGCAATATCCCAGACAAGAAACGCTGAAATCTTCAAAAAAGAGCCCGATCAAAATAAAATATGAAGGCAATCTACATAGCTAAGAGAGAGCGCTGGATTTGGAACCAGGAAATCTTGGGTTCAAATCATACCTTAGGCACTTACTAGCCGTGTGACCCTAGGCAAGTCACTCACCCTCGGTCTGTAATGAAGATCAAAGTAAAATACAGTGCAAACCACTAATGATGATGGTATTTATTACCGATAGAGTGTTAGTTCCTTGAGGGCAAAGACTTTCATTTTTATCATTGTAACCCCAGTGACTGGCACCTAGGCACTTAAGAAGTGACTGGGGGAGGGGCAGCTGGGTGGTGCAGTGGATAGAGCACCGGCCCTGAAGTCAGGAGGACCTGAGTTCGAATGCAGCCTCAGACCAACCGGTACTAGCTGTGTGACCTTGGGCAAATCACTTAACCCCGATTGCCTCACAAAAAAAAAAAAAAAGGAGTGATTGGGGGCAGCTGAGTAGCACAGTGGGTAGAGCACCGGTTGTGGAGTCAGGAGGACCTGAGTTCAAATCCATCCTCAGACACTTGACACTTAGTAGCTGTGTGACTCTGGGCAAGTCATTTAATCTCAATTGCCTCCAGACACACACACAAAAAAAGAGAAGTGATTATCAATCATTGTTTTAGAGATGGAAGGGAGATTAAATGTTATCTAGTAGCCCAACTTCTGCATTTCACAAATGGAGACCCATAAAGGTTAATGACTTGCCCAAGCTCACACATGTATTAAATAGTAGGCAGTATTTGAACTGAGCTCTTTGGATTTCAAAGCCAGTACTCTTTTCACTGTGCCTTGGTATCTGTTATTGCCTGTAAAAAGCCTTTCCCCTCAAATCAATCATGTGATATGGTTTGTTTTCTTCCTCAAATATGACCTTTGTTCACAGGCCTCTCTAATATCTTTAGGGGCAGGGCTGCCCCTTGTGTGCAGAAAAGCAAGATCCCATATCATATCATTATATAATGCTATAAATGGGGATAATAATAACATCTGCCTCACAGTCGTTGTGAGGATAAAATGAACTCATATTTGTAACATGCTGTGCAAACCTTAAGGTGCTGTATTAATGCTAGCTAGCTATAATAAGAACTCATTGGCGTAAAAGGCTCACGCTTATTTGGCATAGTTCATACTGCAATCTAGTTCTGACAAATAATTCATTCCATCGTAGTGATGTCCAAAGGATATCCTGCAACTTGTATAAAATAGAGGGGTTTCTTTTTGTTTCTTCTTTAATTTTTTTAAGTGGCAGAAGAAAGTCTGTTCTGTAAACCAACATTCTTTTTACTCATGGTCTCACAGTTCATGTGTCAAAAGCAAGATTTGAATCCAGTTCTTCCTGACTCCAAGTCCAGTATTCTATTCACTGTGTGGTATAGTTGCCAAAACAAACAAATAAACAACAACAACAAAACCCCTAATGCTAACTTAGGCTGCCATAAGAGAGATGTTATATCCAGAATGAGGGCAGTAATAGCTCTATTTTATCCTTCTGTGTTCACACGCCTATCTGGGGTACCATGTGCAGTCCTGAGCACCACATTTTAGGGAAGACATAGGCAAGCTAGAGGATGTCCATTAAAGGGAGAGGAGAGGAGGAGGAGGAGGAGGAAGAGGAGGAGAATCAGGAAGAGGAGGAAGAGGAAGAGGAGAAGAGAGAAGATTCAGATTCTATAGCTCTTTCCTAGTAATCCAGGAGCTTTTCATGTGGAAAAAGAATTCTACTTGACTCTAGAGGACAGAATTAGGAAGTATACATGGAAT